CCCCCCCCGGGATGCCAGTCAACGCCTACTGTCAGCCGCGCAGCATGCCGGCCCAGACGATCGCCGTTGGCAGGGTGCGCCCACCTGCGCTCGCTCTCCCCCTGCTGCGCGCCCGGCCTCCCCGCCTAACATTCCCCCCCCCCCTCCCCCTCTCCCGCTCCCCCGCATGCAGTCCGCCACCTTCGCCATGTGCAACGACACCACCTCCCGCTGCATGTTCTCCTCGCCGGAGTATGTCGAGGAGCACAACCCCACCGACAAGTGCCTCGGCCGCGGCGACGACCCCTACCCCGCTCCCTCCAACAACATCAACTGCGTGGTCACCGTGGACACGGTGGACCCGAGCTCCGAGTCCAGCGACCCGGCCACCTGGTCCATCAACACCAACGACCTGGTCGAGCTGATCCTCACCCCGCCCTCCCGGTTCATCGGCAAGCAGACGGTCACCTGCCGCGTCACCCAGGTGCGCACGCCCGCGAGAGAGGGAAAGGGAGAGGCAGGGCCGCGACACCGTGGCTCCTTCCCGGCTCCCCCCCCGTAAGATCCATTCCCCCCACCTAACATCCTGCCCCTCGCGTGCCTGTGCGCTCGGGGATGTGCATTTGCAGAACACCGCCGACCCGTACCCCAACCCCGGCCCCGGCGAGCAGATTGGCGAGTCGACCACCTCCATCACGGTCACTCCGTTCATTTGCAACGAGACGACCTGCGTCCACGGCACCTGCCACCATGTGCGTCCGGGCGCGCCGCGCTCCGCCCCCCCCCCCCCCTCCCATATGATGCCCACAGGCGGCCCTCCCTTGGTGGGGACATTGGGGCATCTTTCTTTGGCCGCCCCCCTTTTTTTTGCGCTCCCCTCCTTCTGCGTCCTGCCTCGCGACAGCCGACCCCCGGGCGCCCTCTCACCCACCCCACTCGCTCCTTCGCCCTCCCTCCTGATGCGCACACAAACACGCCCATGCTGCAGATCGATGGCTGCAAGTGCAATGCCGGCTGGAAGGGCATCGCGTGCGACATCAACCCGGCCTCCACCCTGGTGGCCACGACCTCGCTGGTGGTTGCCCTCGTGGCCTCCCTCTTCGGCCTGGCCGCCTCTCTTTGATGGGCCAACCTCCCCCCCTCCCCTGGCTGCTTCTCCTCCTCCTCCTCCTCCTTTGTGCACGCCATGCAAGTGGGGAGGGCCGTGTGGACGCGTGTGCCTGCTGCCAGGTTGTTGATCAATCTGGCGGTCCGCCTCCCCCCTCCCCCCCCCCTCCGCGTTCGCTCGCTCCCCTCCCTCTTTTTTCCCTTCTCTCCCCCGCGTGTGTCCTCCCGTGCAAACGGCACCCCAGGACCAAGGCAATGGAGCAGCGTGTGCGCTGGCATGGCGAGCGCCATGTACAAAGGGCAAATCCCCACCCGGGGAGGGAGGGGATGCGCGTGTGCACGGG